GTGGGGGGGGGGGGGGGGGGGGGAGAGGGCGTCGAGGCGGAGTCGGCGGTGGCAATGTACGAAATCATAACGGAATGTGGCGACGACAAGCGAGATTGATCGAGGCAAGGCAAACGTCCTCCGTCCTCATCCCTGCGCGCCAACGTCTCTATTCAAAATAAAATGCGGCGTAAGAAAGGCTCCGCTACGCCAGAGACTGCCAGCGACCCCCGCACTCCACCCTTCCCTTCCCCTTCCCCTTCTTCCTCGCCGCCGCCGTCGCCGATGCTGACTCCACGCCAGTCGTCCGACGACGCGGTCCGCTCAGATCAGTCCCAAATTCCGGTCTGGCCGCCTCGATCGCGCCCACCACCTGATCCGTTCGCGGCAGAGGCAGCCCTCTCTGACGACTGGCATCCCGACTCGCCCGAGCCTTCGTCATCCCACCTGAGCCCCCCTCGCTCGCTCTCCTCTCGGTCACCATCCCCGTTCAACCCTAATGCCTCCGTCCGCCATCCCCGCAACATCAGCCCCGCCCCCTTCCAGCTCGTCGCCTCTGAGGAATCCCACGCGCTCGCCGCCCAGCCCCCATCCCTCGACCGCGGCGGTTCCATGATTCTCTACAGGCTCGCCCACGACGACGCAGAGGACAAGCCCCCCATCCTCGATGCCCACTCCACCCCACGTGCGCAACTTCCGGCAGACATGCTCCTCACCCTCTCCAACGGCTCCAAATTCCCTTCCGGACCCTCCGCCTCCGGCACTCACCGCTTCATCCCCTACGCCTTCGACCCCGGCGACGCGTCAAAGCAGGAGCCTGAAGACGATGACCAGTTTTACTATCTTGAGGACAACCGCCGCTGCACGTCCTTCTCCTGGCGCGGCTTCATCAACATCGGCACCATCGTCCTCCTCATCGGCGGCATCCTCACCTTGTTTGTCGGCTATCCCGTCATCACCTTCGTCCGTGGCTGCGGGTTCGGATGCGCTACCACATACGCGAACATCAACAGTACCGGCCAGACTGTCGTCCACGGCGCCCACGGCGCGTTTCGCCTCACCAGCATCGTGCCAGACACGCCGCTCGGATCCGGATTGCCATGACGCACGCAGCCTGCTTCATAGCCACCGAGCTGAGCCTCCGCGGCTCCCCCTTCCATCGGTGTCGTGCCCGAGCGCCGTTTCATGCGAGTCATCCCTAGTCTCCGCGCTCGTTCCGATCTACGCTGTCGACCGCGATGGACAGCGCCGCTCATTTGTTTCTGTTCTAGTGGTATTTATCTGGTCCATATTTATCTAGGATATATCTATCTGGTCAGTGGGTTGTATTTTGGGCAGACTCGGGAGCTTTCCGTACGAATACAAAAATGCAGTACATGTACTTACCGCACAATATATGCTTCAGTCAGAGGGATGTTCAGTAGTCTTTTCCCAGTCAATTGCAGCACGGTGGACGCGTTCACGACATCCAGGAGCGAGCGAGGCCATCGCTCCGAGAGTCCACGAGACCTGGAGACTTGGCGGACAAGTAGCTTGGCACGATGTGGGAGATAGAGAAAGCGGGCGAGGCGCAGGGCAGGCGGGGATGCGAGGCCGAAGAGATGGACGTTAGCACGAGGGGATGCACGTTATCTTCAGGCCGGGAGTTGCCGGGCCGCGGTCAGTCGACAGTTGGGGTGGAGTGAGACACGCGAGGATGGAGCTGTGACGGGCGGCCGCTCATTGTGGAGCCACAGCGTCCAGCGGCGGCGGGCGAGG